TATCAGTAGAAAATTTAATTACTCTACACAAACTGAAAAATAAAATGTCATACCTCATCCTCCTTGAAAAATTTGGATACACAAAAACTTACATGTACATACTTACTTGTTCATTTTTACTTGGAAGGTTAATTTTGACATCTGCTTTCATCCTCCTCAGTAAATATGGATTGATGGTGTCTCTTAACACACAAGCACATTTGTACGCTGTCTGAACCTGCTCAAACATTGTTAAGGTATTAGACAACTTATCTTGTATCTACCAAAATTGATAAAAATGGCTTCTGATGTTGACCATTGCTTACCTGCATTTCTGTGGCATTGGCATATCCTCCCTGAACTATAGGAATTGAAAAATGCTGCAGGAAATCTGGCAATGTGCCAAGTTTTCCAGGGAACACAAAGTCAAACAAGGACCATAACTCCTTCAGGTTGTTCTGGATAGGGGAACCAGACAAAATGATTCTATGTGGAGTCCGAAACTGAAAGTAAAAATACATGCATCTTATCAAAGGAAAAAAGCAATGTTTCCAAATTAAGAGACACATAACTCTCCATCAATGGGCAAAACTGATTATCAAAATTTGGCGTTTTCCATTTGGTTCATAATTTATTAAGTTAAATCAATACTTTTCAGATTAAGTTACTAAAAGATATTGAAAAACTCTCTGCCATATTTAACTATCATGTACATGGGAACTGAGGGTGAATATTGGCCTAATCTGAAGTCTATAACATTAACCCAACCCCTCCCATTTGTGCCTGACTTCATACTTTTGTTATCTTTACCTGTTTGCACGCCTGCGTTACTTGAGCATCTGGGTTCCTAATTTTGTGGCCCTCGTCAAGCACCACATAATGCCAGTCATACGGCAGGATCTTGTCCTGATGGATGACCAGGGTGCTGAAAGAAGTGATAAGGACCCCCTTATCCTTCACAATACTCCGTACCAACTCCTCCTACAAAATATTAACCAAGTCAGTGAGTGATGAGGACCCCCTTATCCTTCACACTACTTCGCACCAATTCTTCCTATAAAATATTAGCTACCAGTAAACAAGTTAGCTGATCAATCCTTCACAATACTCTGTACTAACTCCTCCTACAAAATATTGACGAAGTCTGTTAGATCATTATTATTGTACATGTATTTGTTATCTTAATACATGTATATTGCAATGTCCTCCTTAGGCTCCTATTCAAGCAATCTCTTTCCAGATTCATCACAGATTATGACTTGACTCCAATACATGATCCACAGGTGTGTGGAATAACTCAACTTATCTAACAGCGGAGAAAATACCAGAAGAGTTCAGAATTGTCAGACTTACCTCATTCCCAGTGAAGGACCCAGAGGAGTGCAGGATGGCCACCCTGAACAATGGCCACCACTTGTGGAACTCTTTAACCCACTGAGACATAACTGTTGTTGGTGTTACAATGACTGTAGGCCCTAAACCACGGTATCTGAAATGTGAAACAATCCATGTTGAGTATGTGAACCAGTGAAATTGTGTACAAATAGAAATAATTTATAATAAATACTTGTGAGAATAAGAGCAAAAAAATTGTAAAACCAATGCATGAACAGACAAACTAATACATAAACATGTAAATTTACTGATTCACTATCTCTTTCTAACCCCTACTTTATGTCAATTTTATGAGACAAAACCAGCCTACTTGAAGTGCTTGGAGACTATTTTGCTCTGTCTCAGGGCCGCCAGGAAGGCTATCATCTGGATGGTCTTGCCCAGTCCCATCTCGTCTCCGATTATCCCCCCTGCTGACTGACAGTGCAGCTCCCACAGCCAGCTCACACCAACTCTCTGATAACTAGATGTAAATTTGTACATTTAAGATGTGCTGTATTTGGCATTAGTTATCACATGTGTAACATTTTTTTACTGGCACTTAGTTTAAAGTGGTTCTTGTTATTTATCAGATATAGAGAATCTTTTTTAAAAAATAACAATCATTGTTACATTTTCAGTCTGAGACTTTGAAACTTATCGGTACTTTCTTGCTTCCTATGATGGAGTGTGATAAAAAAATCAGGAAAAGATCAGAAAAATCTTGATATTTACTCTCTTTTTTTGATCTACCTGGTATCAGTTTATGTACAGTGTACATGTAATTCAGAATCTTTTTTGAAGCAACACAATTTACAACTACATGTATACTTATATTAAGATGTGCTTTTTTTTCTCTTTAAACTTTAACACTGTTAACATTTACTTGAATAACTTGGACCAGATTCTGCCCGGTACTCGGAGCCCTCCCTCCAGTTCTTCATCAAGCTCCTCCTCAATCTCCCCAGTATCCACCCTCTTTAACCTCTTCCTCTCAAGTTTGTTAAATTCCCTATAAAAATATTAATACTGTTGTAGACATCCTTTTTTTTCTGTGTGGGATTAAGTTAAGTTATGTACACAGTCTAAAATTTCCGGTGTAAATTTGTCACAAATCACAACAAACTTTAAGTAAGTTTAAGACACAATGGCAGTCCATGAAATCCACTTAATTTTCTAACAGGAATTGTGATTTTACAGAATTATGACTCCATGTGAAAAAAAAATATGTTTAAAGTACATTGATACATGTATTTATTCAGAAATTTTCTGTCACATAAAGTTTTCTTTCTAAAACAGAATTCCCCCTAGACTTTTTTCAATCTTACTCAATACGGCTGTGATAGAAATCTTCATCCCCATCATCTTTGCCTTTTCGCTCTGCAATGTCTCGATTAATTTTCCTTTTGCTTGCAACAGCAAAGTCCTCATCTTCATTTGACACAAAATACTTTGGAGGTTTCTTCGGCTTTATTATTGAACTCTTTTTCTTCCGTTTCTTCTCTTCTATTAACAGTTTAAAAACAAAAGTTATTTACTATTTATATATATAGTCTGAGAGAGCTAACACACACCCAGTAAAATAATTTAGTAAATCATTACTTGATATATCTGGTTCATCCTCTAAACCCGAGTCCTCAGAGCTCGGTCTCACGAGTTCCCCCTCCTCTGGTTGATACTCATCCCCCTCTGACAAGTAACCCTCTGGGTCATCATAGTAACAGTTCTCTTCATCACTCAAGGCTGAATCTTCACGGAAATTCCTGGAAATCCTAGAGTATCTCCTCTTACTTCTGTAATTGTGTTTGTAAAATGCCCCCTCCACATCATTCCGGTAAGATTTCTTGTCTCTCGAGTCAAAAAAGTTTTCAGATCTGTCTGTATTTTGTGATGTTGAAGCTGGTGAGTCTATCATTCCATGGCTGACAGAAGAATTTGAGCTTTCATGAGTTTCTTTATTACTTATTGTTTCCTTTGATGATCCATTCTGCAAATGGTTGTACAGGTTTTAATACTGAAGGTACATGAATACCCTGTCTGACATAACATTAAGCAAAATAAAACCGATATCTTCAAAGCAGATAGTTACCGGTTGCCTCATTTTTTTTCCTTTTAAAATTGGAAAAGAACAAAAGTATTCTACCTCGTTCACACCCTCCCCTGTAAATTTTGGATCCTTTTCTGTTGATGATGAGACAACAGTTCCAAAAGGAGTCATCTGCCCCAGTCTGATCATCTTTTCCTTTTCTGTCTCTGATTTAGAACCCAGTCCTAGTAGCTTGTTCAGTGCAGCTCCATCTAAATTCAATAGAATAAATAAAAATCTTACTGTTTTAAACATTCTTCCTGCCTGAAATTGCATAGCAATATCATTATTATTCTGAAAAGTTTACCTTGTTTAAAAACATCCTGTGGAATGTCTGAGGTCCCATTTATCTTGATCTGTAGTGCACGTTGTCTTGCATACAAAGTTTTCAGTTGACTTAACTGTAAAAAGTTTAAGCTATTTCATTATTTTTTTTTTTAACAATGATTATAATCAAATTATTTTAATTAAAGAAGGATGTCATAATGTGAGATTTACCTTATTTTCTCTCTGATTCTGGACAGAGACTAGTCTGTTTCTTACATGACTGTTTCCCACTGCATTTCCAAGAGTTGACAAAACTTTATCCATAGTTTCAACTTCTTTCTTAACTTTGCTTTAAACATAAGAAATTGGAGATAGGTAATTCAAATCAATATAAATATAATAATGTATGTGTTACATAAATATTATTATACTACTTACGCTATATCATATTTGATGTCTGTCTCTTCCTTTTGAAGTTTCTTTTTCTGTTGTTCTTCCTCTTCTTTAGCCAAGGCCATATCTACCTGAGCCATTACACCTGTATGATAAAAATCCATGAATTCTTCATTAAAACTGACATACCGGTATTTTGTCTTGCAAAAGATGTACCTGGGGATTAAATTCTTAAATACATGCTTACTTTTAGGTTCCTCTCTAAGGTTGATCTTAAACCATTTACAAGAGAAAAAAAAACACTCATTCAGAACAGACCTTCCTCAAATTCTTCTTGATTGAAGACAGTCAGCCCAAGATCCCCCAGTTCACTGTCTTCATTCATTTCTGCGAGTTGTGCAGAAGGAATAAGTGTCCTATCGACATGAAACCTAGTTGTAGAATCCTCCTCTTGGGGAGCAGAATCCTCATGACCAGATTCTGGGGGACACTCTCCTCTCACTGTACCATTCCAGTCTTCCATCACACCAGAGATGGAGCTTGGTTGGATTTCACTCATTTTGAACGCTTATATTGACTTCTAGCTTACTGGAATTAAGTTCACTAATGTGATGTTTCATTATGAAGATCTACTTTTCCATTCTTCTATCCATATTTTACGTCTAGTCAACACCGTTTAGAAACACTGCTTCTTCTGCAAGAAAGATTTCATAACAACCCCTCTCAGTAGTGTCGCTTATGTACATGCCGAAAACTTTATTTTATATAATATCTTCATGAAGTAATATTCTGAATTTTTTATTTTGTAATTATGAATAATTTAAATAACCTTTGTTGATAATGTTAGTGATAATGAGTACGTAAAAATTATTTATTTTATGAAACGTAAGCGGCTAAAATTTACTTCCGGTGTAAACAAAAAGTTGAGAGACATGTCGACTGTTCAAGTTCTATGCCCCAACGGCCGGCGACAGAACGTTAAAGTAACGCCAAATACGAAACTACTTCAGGTAAGTACAAAATACCTTTTTTTATGCTTATTTCAAGCAAACGGTCGGCATTTCTTTTAATGACATGTCAAACTGTGTTACAAGTCCTTCTTGAAGTTTCAAATTTGCATGTCATCCTTGGGCAACACACACATTTTATAAACATTTGATCTACCACTTCAGTCTATGTTGAAATTCAAAGAATTTTTTTTAGCCCACATAGAGCTTTGTCTAGTGAATTTGAGTTTATCAATCTGGAATAAATAAATCTTCTCTGAATATCATTTATCAGTGTTTTCTAGTTACGGGTTATCTAATCTCAGCGAGATTCGTAGGGACTAAAAATTTTGGTCTGGTGTCCCTACGTAGGGACACCAGACCAAAATTTTTAGTTCCTACGAATCTCGCTGAGATTATGCAGGGACACCAGACCAAAATTTTTAATCCCTACAAATCTCGCTTAGATTATGGGTTATCATGCTATATGAGGAGTCAACTCGTAACCAGAATGTTAGTTATGTAACCAGAATCTTGGTTACGAGTTGACTTTTGCCTTTTATTATGAGTTGACATATTTGGTTCAAGTTGACTTGGTTACAAGTCAGTCAGGGTACAATTAAGTTGAACAGAAACCTTTGATGTCAAACTACCTACTTAATTATACACTGTATTAATTATTATTTATAACCAAGGTTTATGTACTTTCTGTTTCCAAATATATCTGTTTAAAAAGTCCCTAAAGGACTCCCTTATACATGTATTAGCCCATTGTTTCTATGACATTATTAGGCATTGGAATACAGTGTGGGAATTGAAAAAAAATATATATCCAAGGGATAAACGTAATAAATTCCATTCAAATTATATTTTTTAAGTGATATAGTCTTAGTATTCATTGATATCCACAGTATTTTTCTCAATTCACATGTGAATTTTAGAACCAACATAATAATAATAATAATTAAATTTCAGTGTATGTAAGTTGTAATCCCTTCCCATTACCCAGTGTTATTTCTTGTTGTTTATATCAGTATGAAAAGTTCTGTTTACATATCACTTGTTTTATTAGACATCATATTCTATTTCAGGTACTAGAGGAAGTGTGTAAAAAGCAGGGATTCCTTCCTCCAGAAGACTACTCACTTAAGTATGATGTGTACATTATTGTCCACTGTTTCATGAAAGCATAGGACATTAAATCTCATTCAGTCTGTCTATCTGTCTTGCACAAAAACTTTAACGTTGGGTATAACTTTAAATTGGTTCTTTTAGCATGATGGACAGACAAGACAGTTATAAGCCATAGATCATGGCACTCCAACCAATAGGACCCAGAAAGCGGGCAACCACAATTCTCTGAATTTGCTTGTTTTTTTATCTCCCCACAATTAAGTTGGGTTGGATATAGTGACATGCATGTGTGTCAGGGTTGAGTGAGTGTGTGTGTGTATATCAGAAGTTATGCAAGAGATAATTTATATTGGGATTGATGTGCTCATTTGCAAGGGGATGCTCTGCTTTGCAGTGCCTTTTTTATTATTATTTTCATTGTTTTTTTTATATTGTGGTTCTCCTCTGGTCATGCTTGTGATGAAATTTGAGAAAATGTCATAAAAGAGATAATGATTTCTTTGATGTAATGCTTTTTGGGGAATTAATTTACCCAAAATACTCAGAGGTACTGTAGCTTTAGTCTATATTTATAATGTCTATTTACCTTATCATTGTAATTATTGTATTACAGACATGGAAGAAAGACTGTAGATGTTACCCTATCCATAAGGTATTCCAATCTACCCAACAATGTTAAACTGGAACTGGTGAAGAGTGAATCCAGCCGAGCGGAACAAGATGTTCTGATTGCCTTACAGCTGGAGGATGGTCAGAGACTTCAGCAGACATTTTCACCTGCCACATCACTGTGGGACATACTACAGCACTGGGAGAAAGCAGACAGGTCAGTCTCTGGGAAATATGTACTGATTATTGGTTCTTCTATTTCAAGAGAAATTTGTCAGTGGATAATACATGTATCTGGAATATTTTTTCTTCCAGAGCATGACATTCACACAGAATATGTACAGTATTGAAATGTCAGACTTACTGAGACAGAGTACATACAAGATTTACAGTAAAAATGAATTTTTATAAAAACACGGTTATTTTAGAGTAAAAGTAATTTTTTACAGTGCTCACACAGGAAACCTGTGTAAGATGGATCCTTCCCATACACCCCCCATCCAAACTACTTGTATCTACATGAGAGAGGAGGTGAGCTAATGCTTGTAATATATGTGTGATTATTGGCTTGATCTACTGGTCCCAGATAAATTAAAAATAACTGTACTGAGTTTTAAGACCTTGCTGTTTTTAATTGTATTAATCACATGTATAAAAGTATAACAATGAAGATTCACTTTATTCCTAGGTAATAGGTGAGGTTGCACTACAGACCATGACACTTAGAAAACTTGGTTTAACTAGTGGAAAAGCTGTCATAAGGTGAACATCATATAATACTAGTACTGTCACTAATTTCACTAATTTTTATGGGGGTTTAATTTTTGTTGTTTTCAAGGTATGAGGAGACCCACTAATTCATGACCACCATGAGATGTAAAATGTCATATACATGACTACTCAACAATTCTTCATCCACAAAATCAAATCTTTATGAACCCATAGTTTCTCCTGACTGCAATAATTGGGCCCCACGAAAATATGTGATTTTACAGTATACTAGTATATGAATACAGTTTATCCACAAACTATTGAATAATTATTGGGCTGTTTCATACACTGTAAAAATATCATTTCATAGTTAGTCAAACATATGATTTCATATCACAATTTAATAAAAAAAAAAAAAAAAGGATTAGATGTTTATTGTGGTAAATACACTCAGAAATATTTTTGTTTTTCTTATCAGACTTGTTCACAGGCCAGTAGATGACACAGTGATGGCAGAAATTTTAGATAAAATAGAGAGAGAGAAAACAAAGTTGGAGAAGCTAGACTCTTTAGCTCAAAGACAGCTGTCCCAACAGGAGGATAAATCTCTACCTCCTAAAGCTGAAGAGCTCATTGACAGGTCTGAGGAAAAGTCACAATCAACTGAAGACAAATCTGAGATTTCAACTGAGTCAACAAGTCAGACCTCGGAAGCCATGGAGGTAGACCCAAAACCCAGTACATCAGTACCCAGCACATCACAACAACCAATGGAAGTAGAGGAAAGGATTGAAACTCCAGGTCATAGGGCATCAAATGAGGGTAGAGGTCAAAGTCGTGGTAATCAGCAGCAGGATTTTGTAGAAACAATCAGGCAGATGAATATTCCAGGGGTTCAAGTGTTTGCTCCTGGAGATTTCAATGAATTGTCACCACAAGAACAAGAGGTAATGATGTAGTGCATGTACCACTAAAAACTAATAAATTTTAAAATCAGTGATGTAGTACATGTACGTTATAACACTAATAACTTCTAAAACCAGCCATAATATTACTTTGTAATGTACAGAAATTATTTAAAGTTAAATTAAACCAACAATTATATACTACTATATTAAATTGTAGATTGCAAGATGTTTGGCAGCATATTACATGCCACAAATGGGTTTACACCCATCACCCAATCGGCAAGCAGCAGGGGGATCAAAACCAAAGAGAGGTCGACCTCAAGAGGCAGTTCAATTTGCAGAGTTCAAGGTCATTTATTGTTGTCTGTTATGTACATCTTGTTATAGAAAAAAACCTTCTGATTAAATACAAAAGTTTTTTTTTCAATACTTATAAAAGTGTGTTTTTATATTAACACAGTTTCCAGAAGACACAAAAGGAAAAGATGTTTATAAAAATGAATTAAGGTAGGTTAATGTATATCTGTAGAAGAAGGAAAATCAATACATCAACAAATTTCTTATGAACAATGAGAATAACCATGTACATGTAATTAAGAGAAGTCTTCTAAGGATAACCAGTAAATTATTTACTTTGTAGTGAAGTCAACCGAGAGGAATTCAAGGTAAATTCAGACATCTTAATGCTGCTTTGTTATCCACCTTTTCTGATGCCTTTTTCTCTGAACTACATGTATATTTAGTAACTTCTATCTGATTCTAGCCCTGTGACAGACAAGCTGTTTTGTTTAATGCTGAGGAAGTCATCCAATCAACAGCTTCAAATGAAGGTCAGTTGTCTGCAATGCATAAGTAAGATTAGAATATCTTATCAGCTTAAAAACATTACAAATTTTAACAATGAAGCGCCCTGGAATTTAAGAATGGGATATGAACTTTTCTCAGTATCATTTGGGAGATGTGCTAAACTTATGCTAGTTAAGCCTGTCATTCAGTAAATTTTGTATTTATTTGGGATTGTAGATCTTCCTGATGAATTCTTTGAAATAACAGAAAATGATATCAGGAAAATGATGGTAGACCTACAGAAGAAAGCGTAAGTATCTCAGTTCTCTACTGCATGTGGATGTATCATCAAAATTATACTAAGACTATTTTTAGCGCTACATGCATGTAGAATTGTTGAATGATTTGAAAACAAGTTTGGAGCAATGCAGGAGATTCCTGTAAAATTTTATATGAATCTATACTGTTTCATTTGGGGAGGAGGGGGTGCATTTTGAGATCCTGCTTTATTTAAATACTAGAGTGGGCTGTATGTTTTATTGAAGGTGTCTTCTTGTCTTGCATTTTGAAGTTAGTTTATACTGAAAGATTACACTTAAGATTTATAATTTCCCTACACAGACAAAGTGAGATGGAGCAGCCACTGTTAACACGAAGCATGGTTCAGGAAAGGCTAGAATCGCAGTATTCTAAATACCAACATGTGGTCATCCGGATCCAGTTTCCAGACAAAGTAGTGCTCCAGGGATTATTCCGACCAAAAGAGACTGGTGTGTGAGAGAGCTCCGATTTGTTTTCATTTTAATTTGAATTCTTGTTTTCTAATTCAGGAAATAATTTTTGACAATTTGAAATGCATAATTAATTTATGTTGTATAGCCATCACTGATTATTTGATTTTTCAGTTCATGCATTGCATAAATTTGTGAAAGAATATCTGGAGGACAAAAGCCAAGGATTCTATCTTTGTAAGTACAAAATACAGTTCAGTGCTATCACCATGCATATGTCATAGAAGAGGATACACTGATCATATTGAATTACATTAACTAACAGTATGCTGTACATGTATTATGATCAATTTTCTGCATTATTTTTCAGACACTGCACCTCCAAAACAGGTGTTGAAGGATCAAACACTGAATTTGATTCAGGTATTGTATGCATTTTATAAGCTCAGAAAGTAATTTTTCAATCTTAGTGCTAATATGGGCATACATGTACATGCAACAGTTAAACGTAATGAAGAACTAAGTCGAAAAAAAAGTTTGTACATCAATTGTAATGCAGTAATAAGTCAGAGAAATGTTTGAAGATGAAGTTTATGTGGATGTATTTTACAGGCAAAACTAGCACCGGCCTCTGTTGTGTATTTTGGATCAGAGACAACAAAAGGTTTGTCACTTTCAAAACATATATACACCTGTACATGTATGTAAATTATTTTAAAGTTTCCATCCAGGTTTGAATGTTTTTGATTCTGCGCAGCAGTAAATACTATATGCATTACCAGTAGGGAACGTTCCTTTATTATGTATCTTGTTTGAGTTTTCACACTGGTGATGTGTAATTTTTATATGTACATGATTTCTGTTTTACTTTCAGATCATTATCTTTCGGAGGCTGTAATGAAGGAAATCAGTCCAAAGAGCAAAGCAGAGGATATTGTGGAAAAAAGGCAGGTTTTTGTCAGGAAATATTTTGAAAAAAAAATATTATGGTCACCTCTGCTTGTCAGAAAATCTCAAAAACTTCTGCTGTTGGTTTTAAAAGCAAATAGATCGTGTACAGGAAGACGTGCAGATATACAGTAGATGTATCTTATTTGCTTGTGTAAAATTGTAAAGTTTTCTTTATTTCTTATTTTACAGCTTGCCTAAGGATGAGACTCCAAATTCCTCAAGAAAAGATCAACAACCTGGCACATCTAAACCAAAACCAAGCAAAGCAGATTCTGAACCATCAACCGGCTCGAAAAAACCAGCAGTCCCAAAGTGGTTTACTGCAGGTAATGTCAAGAGCAATTCCAGAAATCTTCTGTGTTTACTTGACTTTCCATTGTTAGTGTGAGACTCTAGAAGTCCTTACAGGTGAAACTGGGGATCTAGAGGTTAAGGTATCAACCTTTATCAACTGAAAAATTTAAAATAATCTGTTTCCAAAACATTTTATTTAAATTGAACTTTGACACCATTGTTGCAGATAATCTTCAAGTTTCAGAGGATTCCATTCATTATTCATGTAAATACATGCACATGTATCAAAGTTAATTAACTTCCAAGTTGATTAAAATTTCTGTTTTCCAAATGAATTTGAAAACTACAAATCGATCAAGAGTTGGGAAATTACTTTGCAAAGCAGAAAACTGATCTTGTTCTGAGTTTCGTAGGATTGTGACCCTTGTTTTAGGGAATTACAGTCTTTTACCAATTAAAATTGAAAAACCCTTAAGAAAAAGCTTTTCATTATTGAAAATTTCATGAAATATGAAATGAACTTAGACTTCCCAAAACAGGCAAATTTCATGAAGCATGTTAGTGCTTTAAAGCCATTCTGAGAAGTCTCGAGTTCATTTCTTTCATGAATTTTTCAAAAATGAAAGACATTTCTTCTATTTGCCTGTACATATAACTTTCAAATACACATAAATTGAAAAAACGTCCCCTGGTTTCTTGAAAACATGGGAACATTAAATCTCATTCCTCTGTGTCTGTCTCAAAAACTTTATAAAAAAAAACCATAGCTTTGACTTTCGTATTTCACATGTGCATTACCTGTGACAAAGCCTTTCAGAATTTACCACGGTTTTTGACCTCATAATTTTGAAGTAGTTTGATAATTATGTTGTTAGCATAAATTACTGAACTCATAGATTTATGTCATAATGATAAATGTACACCTTGTAAGAGTTTGCTGGGGCCAGTGCTTCAGCATTACTCTCAGAATGCTTGTTGATGCTTCTCATTCTTGTTTTGCAGGGAAAAAGTGATATGTTCAAAGATATGGAAAAAATTGTGCAAAACGCTACATTCTTCAACACTGGGACTTGGTTCTACCTGTTAGCCTCAATCTGACAATACATGACATTGACATCAATCAGTCTTCATTCAACAGCTTATCAATGAAATAAATATGTTTAAATCACTACAAAAGTATTCTTTATAATCAGTCCAAGGATGAGGAAATGTTCCATTTCTATAAAGTGTAATTACTACCTATAGTAAAACTCGGTTATAGCGAAGTTCTGGGACCTGCGAATTTACTTTGTTATATCCATTATTCATTATATCCGTATAACGAATTAATTATTGTATACATAGCTAATTCGCAATATAGACTTTTTTATTCAAGTATGACTACAAAAAGTATTAAAAATTTACCTTGGATTTCAAAAGTTTTCGGATGAATTGCATTTCAAGTATAAATACTTATAAAATTATTGTCAGTTCAATATTTTAAAAATTAAGAACTTTGAAATTTTGCTATAAAAGCTGTTAATTTCGTTATTTTCAACTTCTAGTTTTCAACAAAATCAGTTTGCTATAACCGTAAATTCACTATATCCAAGTTCATTATATCCATAAAAATTTAATACGGAATTGTTAAGAATTTCGCCGGGGATTGCAAATTAAAAAGCTATGTCCGTAAATTTGCTATATCTGTGTTCGTAATAAACAAGTTTTACAGTAATACACTTTAGAGCAACATCAACAAAAAAACATTTACAACTAATAAATAATTTATTTCCAACAAAATGCATAATCTCTAACAATACATAATTATATGAAACTGATAACAATATAAGAATTATTGTACAACGATGATGAACAATGAGCCATGGTTTACAGTGGTTCCTGCTACCACAGTCGAGAACAATCCAGGAATATGTATGAAAGTCCGATACATAATGAGAATAAGCACATTACCCCTTAGTTACCTTTAATATAAAATGTGATTAAGAATGTGAAGAAAAAGACAATTCAGCATCACTCCAGGGTATAAGCAGTAAATCATTCAGTTGACAATATCATTTTAACACAGTTGTACAATTCATGCATTCACAAGAGGCAGCAACTTTAGATCTCTTCTTGAGTGGCGTGATGTAACTAATAAATAAAGGTGACATTTATAGTCTGTTCAGCTCCAGTTGGCAGCCATATTGAAAGCACCAGAAGGGGGTTCATGAGTTGTATCAGCGGTACAGGGGAGACAATCGCCGAGGACTGTTACGGGCGAGTTTATCATTCTGAAAAATTATATACAAACACATTCAAAATTCTAACACTCTCCATACTCCAACAGTTGTTCAACAAGCCAGAATAAATTTTACCATCTTTCAATTCAGCAAAGGCCTCTGTGTATAAATAAACTTTTGAGTCACAAAAAGAAAATTAAGAACAAATGTAAATTAAGTTTAAAAAGAAGGATAAATTATGCTAATCTAATTTTTGGCACGATAATACACCAAAAGTAAAGGTTATAGTGCATCAGGTATCACACTAGTGCATCAGATATCACACTAGTGCATCAGGTATCACAAACTAATGTGAGGGCAATGCAGATAACAACAACAGTACAGTGTTAGGACAATACATAATATCTAATTGGTGGTTATCATGGGTGATAAATCTGGAAAGGAACTTGGTGGGATTTTATTAAGGTAAATAACTCTGGGCAGGAACTCAGTGGGATTTGTTAAGGTAGATAACTCTGGGAAGGAACTCGGTGGATTTCTCTGTACCTGGCAGGCACATCGACAAGGAGGAGGGGCACTTAAGTAGGTGTGTTTCCTCGATTGTCGCACCTCTCTTGGAGACTCCTGATTATTTATTAAGACATGTTAACCACAGAATAGACAGAAACTTAAATGTCCTAATTACAGAGAAAACATTATTAATCTAGTGAGAGTTTCTGGAATATAGTAAGATTTCACATTGTGGGATCTGAAAAAGGCAAGAGCATGATAAGGGAGGTAACTTTATATTTACTCAATACGTTAAAGTCATGTTAGTCTTTTTGATTGGGGTTTAAACCTAAGTAACTGGGTTCACATGATAGTCATTAGAACTTACATAGACTGGGTAATCATGTAGAACCATGCCCGCTGAACGTCCAAACCCGTGTTCCGCTTCATTTAACTTTAACAACATATCTGCTCTCTCTTTACCCCAACTTCTAGAATTCTCTAAAAGCTGTAACAATAGAAATTATAGGAAATCTCAAAATATTTTGATGCCTTTTCTCTTTTAATCATTTTTTATCTTAACAATGCCTTCCATAATGTTTCATACTGATAATGTTTTGAATTAATAAACATTTTTAATGTTTCACAAATTAAAATGAATATTTTGAATGTTTGTCATGTGAAAATCAAAATTTTCAATTTTTAGCAAATATAACATGAAAGAAGATTATACCTGGGTTTCCAGAGACTGTATCCTAGCCTCGGCTTTCTCCAGAGCCTGATAGAGTTCCAGTTTATCTGTTTCAGATGTTGATGATCCTTTATTACTTAATCTCAGCTGATCCTGGAATAAATATTTTCCAAATAAACACAGAGATATGGAGAACATTTTTTACTGAGCTGTCCATTTATTTTCTTTTCTCAAAATACTTGTCCACTTATTTTCCTTACCCGTAAGTCATCAGCCTGTTGTCGTAGTCTCTTGTTCTCCTCTAACAAGGCTTCATTGGCTTCTTGGGCAGCATCTGTTGGCAGAGAAGTCAATAATAAGTCAGGATTCAAAATCAGCAAGGATATCTGACACGTGATGTTTACCTTAGCCCAAGGTACAAGACAAAAAATAAATTTGGATCAACTCAACTTGTATTCTTAAAATTTGAAAATCATGAAAATCTTGCAAATATGGAAAGAATTTAAATAGGATGGCAGATTCTTGAAATGCTGCCACCAGTGTCTCCATCTCAACTGTTAGATGACTGATGTATTTCTAACTATCGCCTTTCAAAGGTACATTTATTTGTAGTAAGAAGAGAAACAGGTCAATCCTCCTGTCTACCAGGGTTTCCATTACTAACAACTAAACTTTGATTTTTTTTGGAGTTGCATCCACCTTACTAACAGTGTAAGTAACCTGTTGACTTTTTTGCCCTGGTCTCTGTGTTTGACTTATCTGTTGACTTTTTGCCCCAGTCTCTGTGTTGCTTCCCTTACAAACAGTGTGATTGTCGACGTTTTGCCCCGGTCTCTTTGTGACTTACCTGTGACTTTTTGCCCTAGTCTCTTTGAGACTTACCTGTTGACTTTGCTTCAGTCTCCATGTGACTTACCTGTTGACTTTTTGCCCCAGTCCCTTTGTGACTAACCTGTTGACTTTTTGCCCCAGTCTCTTTGTGACTAACCTGTTGACTTTTTGCCCCAGTCTCCATGTGACTTACCTGTGACTTTTTGCCCCAGTCTCTTTGTGACTAACCTGCTGACTTTTTGCCCCAGTCTCTTTGTGACTAACCTGTTGACTTTTTGCCCCAGTCTCCATGTGATTTACCTGTTGACTTTTTGCCCCAGTCCCTTTGTGACTAACCTGTTGACTTTTTGCCCCAGTCTCTTTGTGACTAACCTGTTGACTTTTTGCCCCAGTCTCTGTGTGACTTACCTGTTGACTTTTTGCCCCAGTCTCCATGTGATTTACCTGTTGACTTTTTGCCCCGGTCTCCATGTGATTTACCTGTTGACTTTTTGCCCTGGTCTCTCTGTGACTAATCTGTTGATTTTTTGCCCCGATCTCTGTGTGACTTACCTGTTGACTTTTTGCCCCGGTCTCTGTGTTGCTTTTCTAGAATCTTCTCCATCTTCTCTATGACCTTCTCCTGTTTTTTACACGCCTCCTCCACCGTCCTCATCTTCTTCAGTTTTTCCTGGAGTTTGGTGATCACCTCATTCTGTTGTTTGTAGTTCTGAGCAATCTTTATGTATCTCTTTTCCTGGTCATTTTTCTACAAAAAAATTCTATTGAATTGTCAAAGAATTCTTTTGAATTCATCTCAGAAAAAAAGTGTCTTTTACAGGTAAATAATTTAAAAAAGTTTTCTTTCAGACTTAATCAAATGAAAAAAAAAACTTTTTAAAGCTGTATTTGTATCAATACATGTATACACATGTATCACAGCACCATATTTTCATAGATTTACATTTTAAAAGTACATAAATATGAAAATAGTGCCAGTAATATACCATCACACTTGAGTGAAGATATCGCAAAAAAAGCATGTGTCACCATATTGTACCTTGATGAGTTCGTTCTGTAGTTTCTGAACCTTGTCTTTGTAGGCTTGTATGTCACCAGAGTTTGACTGCAGTGTTTGTTTTAGTGCAGCTGAAAAAAGCAAAACGTGCAGAGTCCCAATTACCCTCTAAATAACTACACTCCTACTTAAGCTTAATAGAGCTTATGTTCACCAGCTCAGCTCAAGTGAGCTTACTTTAATGAGTTCATTCTGTAGTCGCTGAACTCTCTCTTTGTAGCTTTTGAGATCATTACTGCTAATTACTAGAGTTTGTTTCAAGATGGCTGAAAATAGTTTACATGATTAATGGAAGAAAGATTCAAAATAATCAATAAACTTCTTGTTCTCTGATATCACACCTGCATTTAACATTACTGTGGAACTCTTAACTGATTTTCTTACAATTGATGTGGAAATTTCTTTATATTTTTTATCCATGAAAATGCTTCATGTATTGCTTTAATTCCTTTATGTGAAAATTTTTGTATTTTTATAAAATCTCACAACTATCAAGATTTCCTTGCAAAAATTATTTCTCGAAGAATTTTTTACTTCAGAAATGAATTGTCCAGTTTATTTGGTCCTGTTTCAAATTTTCAAATGTATTTCATAAGATGGCAAACATTGATAATTACCATATCTGGACATGACCTCTGGTTTTGTGAGATTGTCTAGTTCCGCTGATTCAATCATCAGTTTACCGGCGTCATTGTAATTAGCCAGATCTCGACGGAGCTGACTGTTATTTGCCTCCAGCTCTCGGATCTGCTGTCTCAGGGCGAGGATATCTTGACCCATTTTGTGGACAGCAGTCCGATAATTCTCCAGTTCCTTCATCTGGTGGTCCAATACATTCATGGATGTCTGGTCCAGATTTGCCGGTTGGTA